CTCCGAACCCGCGTCCCCCCGCAATTTGCACCACCCCTCTCCCCACCCCCCACCCCCCCCCCCCGGGCCCCCCGCGCCCCCCCCCATCCCCGACGAACTCCATCCGCCTCGGGTGACCTGGGCGATGGGCACCCACCAGGCCGAGATCACCATCTGCTTGTCCCAGGCGGAGCTGTGGCACAGCGCCAGCGTCCCCGCCTCCCGCAGCGTCGCCGGCGGCACCTCCCCGCCTGAGGGGCCCAAGAAGGCGAGGAAAGAAGGCGACGGAAAGCAAACAAAACAGGTCCACCTCGGAAACCGATGCCAAGAGCTTAGTGGGAAATTGGCACGTTTTGAAGATTCCTGTGAAAGAGGCTGGGGCAGGGAATGTGGCTGGCCTGAGGGATTCCGGACGAAGCAGGTGCGAGCTCCAGCAACATCAGCATTCACAAAGGCATCCTTCGGTCCCAAGTGCTTCAAGAAGAGCTGCTCAGTTTGTATGGCGTCGTGACCGGAAATCACCAGGTAGTTCCTTAGCTGGAGCCGAGTCCCAGAAAATATTAAAAAAAAAAAAAAAAAAAAAAAAAAAAAAAAAAAAAAAAAAAAAAAAAAAAAAAAAAAAAAAAAAAAAAAAAAAAACTCCCATGCTGATGTCAAGCCAAGGAACTCAGAAGATATGAACCAAATGAACTTCTCAAACCACCAATTCTGTCGTACTCGGCGGATAGTTTGCTTGAGATCGAACTTCTGCATATCCTGATGGGCCTTCCTTTCTGCCGTCTTGATTGCAGCCTCGGCGTGTGTTTGGGTGCGCGACGTCTTTTCCCTCGTCTCCTTCCTTCGAGAATGGAGGCGCGCAACATTGGCATGTGCCGAGAGATTCAAGTCCAGCGACACCACCTGCATGGGCGTGTCATCTGTGCCCTCCTCATCTTCAGTGACAGCCAACAGGATCTTGAACTCATTCTGCTCCAGGTTCAGCGAATGGATATGCTCCGCAATGGGATGGCCCATGCGCTGCTGGCGCTTCACCTCTCGCCAAATCTCGGTCCAGTCTACCTGCGATGCCAGCATGGCGTTCAACATGGCCAGGGCCCTGTCCACAAGTTCCACGTTTTGCTCGATCAGACTGGCCTCGGCTTTCCGCGCTTGGGCGGAAAGAGACTCCGAAGAGAAATTGCACCCCTCCGAAATTGCCAGGAATAAGCAACCAACTGTCCCAATTGCATGTTTGAAATGTTTACCCATCCAACCACCCCACTATCACCCCACCCCACCCCACCCCACCCCACCAGCCCCCCGGTGCCTGCAGCTCTGAGGCCTGCTGCTCAGCCTCCAGCTGCTGTACCCTTCGGCCCTGGTCCGCGCGGATGCGGTCCACCCGCGCCATGACGCTCTGCGCGTGCTGCGCCTTTTGCTCCACCGCCTTGTTCTCCTGACAAAAAAAAAAAAAAAAACGAGAGAGGTAAGGGAGATTGTGCTTGGCGCCAGCTGAAAGCGGCCAGTCTGTGAGTCTTCGTTGGCCTGTGCATCTGTGTGTGTGTGTGTGTATGCGCGAAAGCGTGTCTTTTTGTGTTTGTCTGTGTGTGTGTGTATGCTTGTGTTTGTGCTTGTGCGTGGTTGGCTCCAAGTGCTTCTGTGTCTGCGTATGTCTGCGCATAAGTGCCTCTGTGTGTTTCTGTGTGTCTCTGTGTGCCTCTGTCTTGTGTGTTGTTTGTTCTGCGTATGTCTACCTGTTATGTGTCTGAATGTGTGTCCGTGAGCCTGTGTCTCTCCGTCTCTCTGTCTCTCTGTCTCTCCGCCTCTGTGTCTCTTTATCTCTGTGTCTCTGTGTCTCTGTGTCTCTGTGTCTCTGTGTCTCTGTGTCTCTGTGTGTCTATGTGTCTGTGTGTCCGTGTCTGTCTGTGTCCGTCTGTCTGTCTGTCTGGCTGTCTGGCTGTCTGGCTGGCTGTCTGTCTGTCTGTCTGTTTGCCTGTTTGCCTGTGTGTCTGTGCGTCTGGGTGTCTGTGTCTCTGTGTGTCTGTGTCGCTGTGTCGCTGTGTCGCTGTGTCGCTGAGACTCTGTGTCTCCAGGTCTCTGTGTGTCCACTTGCCTGTGGGTGTGTCTCCGTTTGCGCGGAAGTGTGCGTGTGTGTGTGTATATATGGTACAGCGTTGCCAGCCCCCCCCCCTCCCCCCCCAATGGTCATGGGTCAGCCAAGTACCCCCCCCCCCCTGTGGTTGTGGTCCTGTGGTTGGGTTGTGGTGGTTTAGGGTTGGTTTAGAATTGGTTTAGGGTATATTTAGGGTGTATTTAGGGTTGGTTCAGGGTTGATTTAGGGTTGATTTAGGTTGATTTATGTTGATTTAGGGATTGTTTAGGGTTGGTTTAGGTTTAGAGGTGTACGGTTTAGGGTTGGTTTAGGGTTGGTTTAGGTTTAGGGGTTATTGTTTAGGGATTGGTTTAGGGTGTATTTGGGGTTAGTTTAGGGTTGGTTTATGTTGATTTAGGGTTGGTTTAGGTTTAGAGGTCTACGGTTTAGGGTTTGGTTTAGGGTGTATTTAGGGTTGGTTTAGGGATAGCTTAGGGTTGGTTTATGGTTAGTTGCGGGTTGGCTTGTCCTGGGGTGGGGGTGCCGGGGTTTCTGGGTGCGAGTTCAGGGGGTCGGGGTGGGGGTGAGACCGTAGGTGCCAGGATCCGGGGGCTCGGGGTCTCGGGCCCGGGGGGGGGGCTCTTGGGGGACCATACCATATGGGGGGGGGGGGGGTAGCAACACGGAACACGGGACCATATATATATTATATATATATATATATGGGTGTCTGTGCTTCTGCGTCTCTTCGTCTCTGTGTCTCTGCATGTCTAAGATTGGTAGCTGTGTCTTTTTGAACTTTGAAAGTTGTTTCTAAAGACAAATACATAATTGCTTCATGCTGGCTTTTCTTGTCTTTCAACATGAGACATTTCTTTACAAAAACGTCTGCTTTCATGCTGGCGTGGTTTAACCCTCGACAAACAGAAGCTTGTTCAAAAAAAGTAAGCTCGCTAATCGCGCTGTCTTGATGTTTACGAGTCACAAGTATAGATCAGCCCATTCTATGCACAGCGGGCATTCGATCGAGCTGGGTTCGAAGTGTTCCTCGAGCTGCGTGAAGAACTCATCCACGCAGCGATGAAAACTGGGAAAGGCCAGCACCCGCCCTTCCGAGGCCTCGGGCCCAGGGTCCAGTGGGGTAAACTCCTCGTTGGCCCAGGTGGGTTCCGCGGGCGGCGCATGCACCTGCTTCCGCAAGATCCATCCAGGCACAATGGGCGCATTCGCCTCGGCCGGGGCGCTGCTCTTGGGCTCTTCCTCTTTGGGCTCGTCCTCCTCATCCGGCTCCTCATCCTGCTGGTCCGGCTCTTCCGGCACCTCGAGCTGCGGCATGCTGCCGCCGCCAAGGTCGTCAGGCCGCGAGACACTTTGCAGGGTGTCCAGCAAGAGCTGCGCTGCTTCCTGCTGCAACTGCACCAACTCCTCGAAGGACATGTCATCTGCTGTCAGCTTGAACGCATTCTGCAACACCTGTCCCTTCGCAGCGGAGACTTTGGCTACGCAGCTTGCACACAGAACTGGGTCTGCAAAAGGAGCCAGCTTGTGCAGCAGCATCACAGCCGGCATGGAGGAATGCTGTACCCTTTTCTTTGATCGCTTAGCAAAAGCAGACTCCCCTCCTTTCTTTTTCTCTTTGGCCGCCTTTTCATCGTCCATTTCCAGCTCCTTGACCTCTTGATTTTCTGCGCGAGCATCTGCCACATCCAGGATCTCTGATATTGTGTCAGAGAATTCACTCAGCGGGACCTTGAGAAGCCCCATCGCTCGATCCAGTGGGTACACCTGCCGCATTCCGATCTTTGCATCTTGGTCGCTGTGCACCCGCAAGAGCGTCAGGATCTGATAGTCATGGTCCGTGAGAATCAAATTCCCGCTGACGTAGAGTTCTAAGATCAGATGAAACGCGGTTTCACCGCGGCCAAACTGAAGATCGATACACCGGTCGGCACCAAGCTGGTTGATCGCCGTCAAGCGTCTGTTGCGCAAGTGTTTTCTAAGCTTCATGGTGTAATTGGACGGAATAGAGGACTTGTCTCTTGAATATTCCGTCAAGTGAAAGCGAACTCCACTCTCCAAGAGCAGCAAGCATCGGAAACCTGTCACAGTGTTCGGCAAGCAACTTGAACTTCAATCAAGTGGCATCAAAGCCTGCGCGCATGTCAATGTGAGACCTCTCTTCTGCCAAGCAGCCTTTTCGCTGGAGCTTCAAAAGATAAACCCTCGAGTTGATGTCGTAGATGTTTGCCAACTTGCAGCCAACCGCCGAGGGACGAACAGAGTTTACCTAGGCCCGGACACACGCTGACACACAATTGCCCCAAGAGCCATGGAAAAAATTGGATGGAGCCCTAGATGTTCTTGGAAGGTTGGTTGAACGATTCTCCCCAAGCTAGGAATACACTACAAGCAATTTTGGTCAGTTCCTCGTTTGAAGAGAACGCCAATGAAAAGCGCATGCCGAAAGAAGCTGCCTCAGTCTACGATGCATCCAAAAAACCATGGCACGGACATCCAACGATGTGAAGCGTGTCTTGACCATGGCTAGAAGGCCAAGGCAAAGTCCCAAGCAGCTGGCGGGGGCGAAGAGCGTGCGCGGTGCGCCAAGGAAAAGGAAACGAGATGATGCTGTCTGTTGGCACAGGTCACAAACGCGCAATACCCAGGAGCTCGCTTCTGCTTGAAAGTGTTAGCTTCGGTTGTCTTTGTTAGCTTAGGTTGTCTTAGCTTCTGCTCATCTAATTGCTAAGGTCATATTGTGTCAAGTGCTGAAGCCACAAAAGCCAGCAATGAGCTCTGGCCGGTTCCCAAATACCCCCGCACGCAGTACCCTGCAAAGGATTGGCCACCACATACATGACCAAATCCTGGCTCCATGGCAAATCTCTGTCAACACACACCGCTTGTCTGAAGCCAAGTGCATGGCCAGTCCACAGCAAAACCGCCCGACCTCTTGAGAAGCCTTCAGCTGGACGCCACAGAAGCGCAGAGTTGCGTGGACCTCTCGCAACCAATCGCTGAAGGCTTGGCGACTCATGAGAAACCCACCTGCTCCGCCGTGGACTCCATGTCCGCCTTCAAAAGGTTGTAAAGCTTCTCCAGGATTCGCCTCCAACTCCGAGCTGATTTGGGTGACCGTTTGAATAGGTTCTTTTCAGATGCTACACGCATGAGTGTCCTGTTCAGCAAGCTGGAACCCGTTTATTGGAACTCGCTTAGGGTTTTCTGATTGATGGAAACAAAAAGCGAGGAATGCATTCCTTACTTGGTACAAATGCCTCAAACATATGTTGTGTCTTTCACCAGCCTCATGCAGCGCAGGCGGCGCTGGGCACTACCACGGATCTTCATGACATCCTCATTCAAAGGTGAGATGACCATTGTAAGTCAAGACTTCCAGCGAATCTGGAAATTTTGGGACCCCATCCTGGTGGTTGACTTCCTTTTAGTGTCCCTTTCCCCTATTTCGAGACAGATCTACACAGGCTGCGAGGACGACTAGCTCACGTGGCGTCCTCGACCCAACGGGTTGCATCCTCATCCGCCTTGGCCTTCAAAGGGCTTTCCAGCAGGTCGCAAGCTGCTGCTGCCGCAACTGCTTGAACCTGCGACGTGCTGATCGGCGCTTTGGAAGGAAAGCTCTACGAAGCATCAGCTAGCAACTCACTTCCGAGAAGTACCTGCAATTATTTTTGAAGCCGCCATGAAAGTGCGGGTGCCAGGCAAACTTGCAGCGAATATCTGCTACCAACTCAAGATACCTAAAACATTGAGTACCTCCAGTTTAGATCCCCGGCAACAAAGGCACTTGCAAATGCTCCGGCGACATGCACCTCTGCCAGCTCCTCGCCAAAGTCCTCAGTCGAGCAGAACTGCCATCCCCCCAAGAGGGTTCTTTCGCTTCGCGTTATGCAAGGCCTGAGCTCAAATCTCTTTAAAAAACCAGGTTTGGAGCTGGACACGATGTGGGCCGGCATGTGAAAGGTTTCAGGTCTGAGGGGCCGTGAGGGTGCCTGGGTCGGCTTGGGGGAGGTTAGGCTTTGCTTGAAGTCGGCTTCTTGGTGCATGGCCACTGCAAAGGCCCAAACATAACGTGAATCTTCCTCCATCCACCCAAACCACTGCGCAAATCGTCCGAACCAGTGCCAAAAACCAACCGCGCAGGCCGACTTTACAAAGGCCACAACACAGCTCCAGCCACAAGGCCTTGCGACAACCCCAAAACATACACCTTCAATCATCCTATCCTGCCGGTCTGCGAGCCAACCTGCCCAAGACAGTCCGACCACCCCAACCAAACCAACCAACGAAACACATCAACAGACCCATCCATCCATGTGCTCCGCGCAAAATGTCCCCTCCCCCCCCAGCCAACAAACAAAAGTGAAAAGAACTGGACCGAGCAGGGTCCTTGTCATCATCCTCTGCAGACCTCAGGCCGGCAAGCTTTGGCCCCCGTTTTTCTTCCCTTCACCAACCCAAACAGACCCATTTTGACAAAATCCCTTCTGTCCAAGCATCCATGCCAAAGTCTAAGGCATCTACCCACACGCCGTTGATTCACAGTCTTCACCTGCCAGGCATGTCGCCATGCACAGAATTCGTCCAAAGAAAGGACACGAGAGGCCGCCTTCGTACTCCGCGACGAAGTTCTGACCTGGCCAAACTCCCAACACGTTGAGAATGAGAGAATGTTTCATTGGCACATCACATCAGCACAAAGACAAATGAAACCGTTCGAGTCAAATCTGAGGCACAAATTGCAATGCTTGGGACGCAGCACTCTGACTTGATGGTCTCAAGGTCACGTGCAAAGGACTTCATCGCTGCGGAGAGGCCCTGCACCTCCAAAAAGTAGGTCTGCAACAACTCAAACGCAGCTGCTTGCACCTTTGCCCTTTTTGCCCTTTATGCCCTTTATGCCCTTTATGCCCTTTAATTATGCCCCTTATGCTCTCTGGTATCTACATGTGTCACACGCCGCACCCTGCCATGCCCAAACTGGAGGGACCTGCATCTTGGCTATCTTTTCCGCCGGTTGCAACCTCAGGCTGAAAAACCAAGGCTGCAAGAGTGAACCTTGTAAACCGAAGCCATGAAAATCCAACGTCTTGTTGGGTACGCCAGACTGGCCCATCTCCGCGCCTGCACTCCTCAGGCCCAGGCTCTCGCAGCAGGGTCTGAGCTGCGTCCGCCTTTGACTGGATCAGGGAGAAGCACAGGAAGTGCAACGAGGAGATGCCGTCGCATTTGAAGTCTCTCAATGCCAGTAGAGAGCTGATGGCAATGGCCTCGGCAAGTAATTCCGCCCCCGCAAAGGCCAACGGCGAAGCGCACAACAAGTTGTTCATACGCCAAAACGTGTCTTCTCGCCTTGGCTCCCTTCTTGGAATCTCCGGTGTTGATGAAGTTTCCCAGCTGCAGCGCCAGGACCATGACGTTCCGCAGCATGCCGGACCGCTGGATTGCGGAGCAGGCCGCCCGGATCCGCGCCAGGCTCCGCATGGTGGCCTTGAACTGCGGCCGCGCGTTCCGGGCGATGCACAGCACCCGGACCCTGTCCGAGCCAACTCAAGAAGCAAAAAGGAATGTGACGAGCCACGGGATCCTGCATGTGACGCCAGGTTCCCTCAATACATTTGAGTCATTTGACACCTTATCACAAAATCAAACAATCAAATCAAACACACTCACGTCACTTGAGCACGTGACGTGAGCGCCTCTATCTGTGTGTCCTTGGCTTCGTGGCTTCGCCCCGTGTCTCTCCATGGACCGAACCCGCCCCGAGAGCCGAGAGCGCCCCGAGCTCCGCCCTCCGAGACTCCGCGCCTGGCGGAGGCCCGGGTGAGCTGCGTGAGGGGCATCACCATCTGCTCCACGTCCCGCAGCTTCTGGCAGGCCTCCGGCTCGCTGTGCTCCCGGAGCTTCTTGGCCTCCTCCTAAGGCGCGGAGTTCGCAACCCGGGGGGGAGGTGGCTCCCTCCATTTTGTTGAGGCGGCCGTTTCTGGGGGTTTGCTTTAAAGGGAAACCAAAGGGGAACACATTCATTTGGGCGGGAGGGGTCCTTATTTCAAGACATACCCACACTGCAAGAGGGAGGGAGGTGCTGGGAAGTGTCAAGCTGTTCATCTGAGGAGCAAGAATTTTGCTGGGGGGTGTATAGCAGCACGTTGCAAGAGCACCCGTTCCCAGCACCCTGCGCAACAACACCCTTGCGCAATACTACCCCGCGAAACTCAGACTCAAACTTTATCTCTCCAGCACGCTTTATGGCACAGCACTTGCAAAAGCGCCCTGCTCAAGTTCCTAAACCCTTCAAGCTTGCGACTATCCGAACTGCCTGGGAAAAACTCCCCTTCCCAGCAAAAAAAACCTCAAGCCTCAGACCCTCTCGAAACCAGCGCCTGGGTGGGGATGGCCTCCAGGATCTGCTCCAGGTCGTCGCTGCTGATGCGGTCCTCCTCCCAGCGCAGGGCCCTCAGCACCGCAACCAGGTCCCCAGTGCTCGTGGGCATCCGCTTCAGCACGATGGCCATGTTCCGGGCCCGGTGGTCGCTCAAGACCTCAACGAATATATGACATGAAAGCACATTGGACCCATATGTGCGGTCTCAGATGCTTCGTTGAAAACGGGATCAAATGAAATGAAGGTGCTTCTATTCCTTCAAGCGCTTCAATTCGGAAAGCCAGACTGTAAGTGTGTTGCCTACTATGTCCGCAGTCTCCAGCAAAACAGGGCTGGCATTCAAGCAAGCACAAAGTATTTTTGTGCAGAGCTGCCTTGGTGCCCACGTTCCGCATCTGCGCCTTGCTGAGCACCCCAGAGGACCGGCGCTGCAGCTGAGAACCCTTGGTCTTCTCAGCCTCCAAGATTCGCGACAGCGCGGAGAAGTCCAATGCACCCACCGTGTTCGCCCGGCTTCTGCTCTCACTGAAGATGGTGCCTTCAGCGTCGATATCCACCTGCTTCCAGTACAACCTCTTGTGAAATGGAGCTTTGCTCTCGGCCTTCGGAGCCGCGGCTTTGGCCAAGGGCCCACTTTTGGGAGCTGGCCCTTTGGCCGGAGGGGCGGGTGGGCCGCCTTTGCCACCTTTGCCCTTGCCTTTGCCCTTTCCCTTCGCCGGCGGGGGCAATTGCAGAGCCGCTGGTGCTTTCTCATCTTTGGCACTGTTCTCGGTCTGCTCATCGCTCTTTCCGCCCTTTGGCCCCTCCTTTGGCGATGCCTTTGGGGCTGGAAGAGGCGGGCCCTTGCCCTTGCCCTTGCCCTTCGGCGGTGCCTTTGCAGTCGTCGGGCTGTCAGCCAGGCCCTCGGGCTTTTCAGGGGCAGCCAGTGGCTTTATGTCTGGCGCGTCCGGCACTGAGTCCGCTGCTTCGGGCGCTGTGTCTGTACAGGGAAGGCCCCTACGCAGCATATCCAGCCTCTCGGACTCTCTCTGGTCCTTCTCTGCCTTTAGCGCAGCAATGCTGGCGATGGAGCAGGAATTCTCATCTATCAGCTTCTCCTCCGGCTCCTTGTTCTCCTCCGGTTCCTTCTCCCTCCAAAGCCGAGACTCGATCACATCCTCCTGCTCCGGCTCTGCCTGCAGTGAGGTGACCGTGTGCTCAATCCGCCGCACGTCCTCTCGAAGCTCCGCCACCTCCCGCTCCAAGCGCACCGTGCGCTCCGGCATCGCCAGCGCCTCCGCGTCCGGCTCCTCCGCCTCCGGCTCCCGCTCCCGAGCCTCCCGCGGGCAGCCGAGGCCGCCCTCCAACTGCCGCAGAGCTGACTGCAAGCTCGACACCTCCAAGCAGGCGCGCTCATACGCGTCGCTTGGAGGCAGACCCTGAGACACTTGCCCCTGAGCCGATGCTTGCTGCTGCGCGGGTGCTGCGAGAGGCATCGCCTCCGGCTGCTCTGTTGTCTGCTGCTGTGCTAGTGTCGACTCCCGTTGCGCTGCCGGCATTGCCTGCTGGTGCAAAGGTTTTGCTTGCTTCTCCTGGGAAAGCATCACTTCCTGCTGTGCGGAAGGCATCGCCTCTTGCTGCACGGTTGCTTGCGGGTTTTCGGCAAGCATCACCTCCTGTTGCACGGCAAGCATCGTCTGCTGCTGCACCAGTGACTCCCATTGCGCTGCCGGCATTGCCTGCTGCTGCGACAGTGCCGACTCCTGTTGCGCTGCTTGCAGTGCCTGCATATGCACAGGTGTTGCTTGCGGCTTCTCGGGAAAATTAACCTCCTGATTCATGGAAGGCATCGCCTCTTGCTCCACAAATGTTGCTGGCGGCTTCTCGGCAAGCATCACCTCCTGTTGCGCGGCAAGCATCGCCTGCTCCCATTGCGCTGCCGGCATTGCCTGCTGCTGCGACAGTCTCGACTCCTGTTGCGCTGCTTGCAGTGCCTGCATATGCACAGGTGTTGCTTGCGGCTTCTCGGGAAAATTAACCTCCTGTTGCGTGGAAGGCATCGCCTCTTGCTCCACAAATGTTGCTCGCGGCTTCTCGGAAAGCATCACCTCCTGTTGCGCGGCAAGCATCGCCTGCTGCTGCACCAGTGACTTCCATTGCGCTGCCGGCATTGCCTGCTGCTGCGACAGTCTCGACTCCTGTTGCGCTGCTTGCATTGCCTGCTGATGCACAGGTGTTGCTTGCGGCTTCTCGGGAAAATTGACCTCCTGCTGCGTGGAAGGCATCGCCTCTTGCTCCACAGATGTTGCTCGCGGCTTCTCGGAAAGCATCACCTCCTGTTGCACGGAAGGCATCGCCTGCTGCTGCACAGGTGTGGCTTGCTGCGCTGCCGGCATTGCCTGCTGCACTAGTGTTGCATACTTCGCAGGAAGCACCGCCTGCGCTGAAGGCATCGCCTGCGTTTAGTACCCAGGCTTCAACTGAAAACATTTCAATCCATGGCCTGCGGGCCATCCATCATCGCTTGCATTGGTGCGACGACGGTTTGCGTTGGGCCCATTTCGCAGCCGTTCGCCATCTTCCTGTCACTGGCTTGCTGAGTATGTTGCAGCATACACCCGTCTCAATCATTGGAGTACTCCCTACACTATCCGAGAGCAATCGCACATGTGAGTCCAAGTCCTGCCCAGCACGTTGCGTGCCCGATTGAGCGCAGCCTGCTAGCAAGCTACAGGCATAAATCAATGTAATGCGATCCTCTGCTCGTTCCCCAGGGCAAGAGGACTAGCAGTTCAAAGGTTCACAAGAATCACAACCGAGAGCGCGGCCTTTGCAGCTGAGGAAGTCTTGCCAGGCGGCTCCCTGCAACAGAGACTGTACAAATCATCAACATGAAAACCGTTTCATGGGTTCGGAGGTTCAACGTCGAAAGAACTTTAACGAGAATTGGCAAAGGAATCTTCCGTTGCTGGGCCTCTCTGCAGGTAAGCCACTTGACCTCGAATCCAAGCTTTTCTGAAGCCTGCTATTGTCAAGTCTGTCATGACTCTTTTCAGCTGCTCAAAGACATATCCTGGGGCAAGCGCGAGATCTGGCGAGAAGACGCAGGATATTGCACGGGATGTTGGATGGGATGAAATTGCATGGGAACATGTTGCGCCGGTTGTGGCACGGGATGCAAGGGATGTTGCACAGGGCGTTGCGCGCAGCGTTGCACCTGGCAAACACTAAAGGCATTCCGAACTGGCATCAAATTCATCAAATGCCAAGACCTCGGAGCTTGCTTTGGCGTCTCGAGGTGCCACCGCACCTGGCAGATTCGCTTTATCGTTCCGGCTGTGGGATCCCCGAGCTGCGGCCTGGCTCCTGCCGGCCGCCGGGCTCGACGGGCCTGTGGCGCGGCGTTGCGAGAGACGAAAACCCTGTACCCCTGGTGAACATCAAAGTAGGTACATGGGTGTTCCGCCCCAAAATGGGATCGGCATAGCTTACCCATGGCCAAACCCTGCCTCTCCCCCAAAGCCAGGCGAGCGCGCTGCAGCACCGCCTTCGCTCTGGCTTCCTTGGCCTCAAAGGCTGCGGTGGCATCAGAACCCCCAGCATCGCCCACCTCGGGCTCTCTCGCGGCACGGCCTGCGCTGTAGTGTTTGCTGCGCTACCGCGCTACCGACTGAAGCATCCAGCACCCCGCCTGGATGCAGGTCCAGTTGCGGTAGGAGTCGCAAAGGTTCCGGCAGCTTTGCCGCCTATGTCTCGTACCCGGTCTCATTCGGAAAACTTCATTCGACACTGTCCCGAAGTTCGGCGCATGCACCTTTGAATTGCCCGAAGCATGAAGCGCAGACCAATTGATACCAAGGCTTTCTTTCACGCAGTCCAGAGTCACAAAGTCCGAATCAAGGCTGAGCAAAGTTCTTGGAGGAGGGGCCGCCACAATCAAGAAAGAGCCGAGCGCAAGAAGCGGACAACGCATTCCTCCGCTCAAGATCTGCACCTTTTAATTTATGAGGCCCGGGGAAACTGAACAAGAATTGGGCAAGGGCAAGAGGCCTTGACCAAATGACCTGCGAACGATTGTCCAACCTAGAAACTGTTTATGGCTGTCCGGAAAGGCTGCCTGGGCTTGTTTGCTGCCTCACTTAAGTTTTCATGGCTTGATGCTTCAGTAGGCATCCAGCTATTGGTGCCTCACATCTCCACCACTGCACAGCCTGAAGCTGGGCGCCGTGCCAGGGCCCTCAGCTCAGCCTCCGCGATCTCGTTCCCACCTCGGCTCTGCGCGAGTGTTTTTCGTGGGAAACTGAGCGAGTCCCCCATGTGCTGGATGGATGTGTTGACCAAACCTCGGGCCCTGGCGCAGGTCCAGCGCCTCAGGTGGAAACACGTGGGACCGTTCAAGGTGCTCTGCCAGCTCCCTTGACCATACTGGCCTTGAGCATCGGCGCGCACTCCATCAAGGATCTGCAACCTGAGGTTTTGAGGCTCGGTCGCAGCTGCCGACTCAACTTTGTTCGGAGCGAGGCCGTTTTGGCCAAGGCCCACTGCGCGAAGGTGGAGAACCTCGGCTTTCAGCGGCGAACCAAAGCCCGAGGTAAAGGAACCCGACGCATCCCGCAGAACAGAATCACAGGAACCCTATCATTGGAAACCACCCCAGCTACCCTTCCCACAAACATAGCACCCTTAAGACGTGGAAGGTCAATCTCCATAGGGTCCATAGGATTGGACCCCCTGGGTGCCATGTTAGGAACATGTCCTCGGGCGCACGCTGCAGGGCAGCGCCTTCTTTGAATGGCACTTGCCACACCTCTGGCGCCAACGTCGCCCAACCTGCAACAAAAAAAATATCTGGATCAGATCCCAAGAGCTCTTGGCTGCGAGGCAGCTGCGGGTTGCTGGAGAGGCCTAACTCATACCTCAGGAGCGGATCAAAGGTCACATCCGTCAAAATGACTCGGAACATGGTTGTTTTCCCCTAAACCAACCGAAACAAGGGTACCCCAAAAAAAACGACACACCCAAATATGTAACAGGAGAGATCCAGGTGCACGAAGATATGCTTGCCCTGCTGTCAACTGCAACTCCACCAAGTTGCTCTCTGGTCCCTTGTTGCGGAAAGAAGTGAATGGCAAGCTCCTACGCAAAAGCACATGCAACACGAGTCATGTGACTCGTCCGTGCCTCAGCTCCAGCAGGACCAATCTGGTTGTCTGACAAATTCAGAGACCTGAACCCACAACACCCACTGTGGGCTCTGGTGCGAAATGGCTCGGCACAGGATTGCATCGCCCCACAAAATTCCAGTCAAGCCCATGCCCATGCCCGAGGCGCCGGCGTTAACACGTGGCCACCAAAATGCTCTCGCATCCAGGCAAGGCACTCTGCCAAAGCCGCCTGTCATGCAAGGCCTATTGGAGGGCCCCTGTCGCTTTTCATTTGACTCAGGTCCCCACTGCGGCCCTCTCCGTGAGCCGGTTCCCGGAAAAATCCTGCGTTCTCCCATTCGCCCCAGTGACTCGGTTTGGAACCCCCGAGCGCCGGGCCATGCATAAAATCTTGAAGCCTGCGGGTGTACCCCTTGGAGGTGGTACCCCTTGGCTCAAAGGGAAACCCCCTACCATTCTGGGGGTCTAAAAAGGGATACACCCATGTTTGGGATCTATGTCCGGAGAAAAAAAGAAGAAAAAAAAAAAGCCTAGATATAGACAGTCAGGCACGCGCATGGACATCGGCATTGGCCTGCAGCCTGTGGCAGTCTTCTGGCCAACCTCGCGGTTCAAACCGCAATCATTGGGTTGCTTTCCGAGGCCGGATCTGAGGTCACAACTCTACAGATGCCGAGAGAAGCGATGCCACAAACCTACGAACCGCAGCTGGCGCAGCTCGTTCGGCGAAGCTGATCCATCGCCTGCTGAAGGCCTGGTCGCCAAGCTGCCGGCCGGCGGCAGCCACCTGGCCAAACACACATGCCGTTCGATGCCGTTCGAAGGTCCCAAAAAACGGTCACGGTTCGTGCTCCAAGTCGTCCAACTTGGCCCAAGCCCGCCTCTTCGCAGCTGGTCAAAGATCCATCCAGGCGCACGTTCACGAGCCAGGCTTCCAACTGCAAGGCGCGCATGCCGCTCTTACAAAGCAACCATAGGTTGTCCGGCTGATCTTGCTACTTGCTCTGCTCTCAGATCCACTCCCGGAACTCACAACTCGTTTCCCATGAGAACCTCTGGCCTCGTCGGCGCCCTCAGACGCAGAAACCTGAGACTTGCGGAGACCCGGCCGGTGGCCACCAGATCGAAAACCCCAGATCCAAGCACCACCTCAGGTTGGCACCTGCGGCAAAGAGAGACGCGAAACACCTCGAAGCGAGGCCAACACGGGCTTGGCTCAGCAGCTTTGGGCAGCTCTGGGCAACTCAGGAGCAAACATCTTGAGCTTGAAGACAAACTCGCATGCATGGCCCGCTATGGCGATCTCAAGATCTGAGATGCAAAGTGAAGCTGGTCAGGCAGGATTTGCCATGCTGCACACCCTGCTGGCCATGTCCATTCCTGTACCAGGAATTGGCCTTAAGAGGGCAAGAGCTGGAACATCCCCTGAACTCATGTGTGTGTGTGTGTATGTGGCGGAGCCAGTGACCTGCATACTGTGACTTGGCGGGTGTGAATGCATCCAGCGCTTACATATCTCGCGCTTGAACGTAAGCTGCTTTGCCAGAAAACGTATCTCCAGCAAAGAACATGGGAGAGGATCTGCATCAAACCAAGCACTGAGGCACTAAATCCTCCAGTGTATTGGGCACGCACCACGCCTGCCACTAGGTCGAGTCTCACTGGAACACTGCTATGTACAGCCAGCGCGCGGTGCTTATTGCGACTTGCGTAGCGTGGCAAACAAGCAAGTCGAAGGCACTTTTAGGTGCCACAATGATGCAGTTGGCCAACTTGTCGTCCAAGCACACAGCCAAAAACGTGCTTGGCAAGCCCTTATCGGCTTGCTGCGAGATCTCAACGTCATCTTGACTGGCACAACAAGTCAAAGGACATGCACCGGCAAAATTCCTAGACGCACTACTGGCCAAGGCGGATTCCCCAAGCAATTCCGGTCAATCTAACTATTGGCTTTCTTCCTTCGGCCTACGACAGTAACAGTGGGTGTAATACTGGTCGAGATAGCTTCGCCTATCTAACGCACAACAGAACATCAAAGGAACTGCTTACACATTGCCCTGAAACAAGGGGGCTGTCCAAACAAAAAGCCTGGGTGAGCCAAGGCCAGTTTCAGCCCAATACTGCCAGACTGACATCCGTGCCCTGCAAACGCTGAAGAGCTGCAAAGGGTCAGTGCGAAGCTGCAATCGTGTGATGCATCAATCAAGTAAATCAAGTAGAGTCATTTGCAAAGCCCAGTGCTAGCAGAATGGGAACGGCAAGCATAGGCAAGCCACACTTTGCATGAATTGGAGTTTCAAAGGCTCGACATGAAGCTGGCGCTTGCTGCATTGCACCCAGCACCAGGGTCTGTGCCATTGCGCTCCGAGGTGGAGTCGTTGCACTCCGAATGGATCAAATGGATCTGCCACGACACAGCACTAAAAGAGTGCCTGGCAAAAAACTGACACGGGAAATGCTCTGGCTCCACCGCTGGAAAATGCCTCTGCTCTTGCCTTACGCGGTGTCTTTGACGCGATCTTGGCAAACTGTCTATCGAGGATTCCACCCAAGTTGCCACACGTCGAAGAGATATCATATCACGCAAAACATTCAGTTTGACTTATGTTTGGACAAAGAAGTGCAGCATCCAGCGTCAAGCGACTATTCCGGGACTGCTCCTGCGTTGAAAACAACTCTTGGCTTGTGATAGGAGCAGTGGCATGGCTGCTGACATGTTTTTTCAAAACCTGTCAAAAAGGACGTTCCATCTGCAGGAGGAATCAGTCTGTGTTCAGCACTACAGTCGCGCGTGCTGAATTGATTGGTGTCGAAACGGCACATGCAAAACCACTACCTGCTTCAGTTGTTGAATCCGGCGCCTCCTGGCCCGCATGCATCCCAATCTGTGTTTGCATTCCTATCCTTGGACCTGATGCCTGCGTCAAACGTTACCTTCCCAAACATGACAAGCGCACAAGCACCAAGCGAGTGGCACACCCAAGAAATGGAACCTTTCGCTCCTCGTCTGATGCCTCTGGGTCGATGGAAGAGAGGTCAGAGGATCCAGCCTCCGGCGCCATTGTCTCCTGAGGCCATCCAAACTCTTACATTTGATCCAAAGGTCCTTTACATGGGTAAGCTTTAGGGAAACCACAAAAAAGATTGTTGCCACTAAATGGGAAAAGCTAACGGAATATTGATCAACCCCACAGATCACTAAGCATAAAGCCACCACAAGAACAGCCCCCTCGACATTGGTGCGCCAAGCTTCGCTCCGCTCCAAGCAGGTTTCGGGTTCCTCCCGGCCAGACTCCAGGGACCCCCCCAGGCACGCGGTCTCGCCGACGGCGTCCGTGTCTGTCTCCAAGGCGCTGATGGCTGCCGCGACCGCCGGACCGTTCTCGAAGGAGACGAAGACCAGAGACGGATCCACGCCGCCCAGGATGATTCCTCTGGTGCCGGCGTGCACGATGATGGCGCAAGGGCTCATCAGGTGGTGCACTGCCCGCACCGATGTGCCGGCGGGAAACTCTGGCGGAGTGTCACACCAAGGCAAAATCTCCAGGGGCAACACGTTGAAGCAGTTGGGTGCTGCCTCAGAAGTCTCAAAGACCACTGTCAGCCGTGTGTCACTGAACTCGGCCAGCACAGTGCCGCGGCACCCGGCATGCACCACAACCTTGTTGCCCACCACCAACGACATGGACGCCTGCACGCGCTGGGCAATGCTGAAGCCGCCGACCAGGGGTCTCTGAGCTGCGACCTCGCGGATGTTCACGCTCACCGGATACTCCGGGATCTTCTCTTGCTTCGGCTCAAAGAGGACAGTGACTCTGTCGCCACCCAAGCTCCCGATGATGTGCCCAACCGAACCCAGCGGAACCTTCATGTCCGAGTTCAGCAAGAGTTCATAGAGAGCAACTACCCGCTGGTGCAGACGAAAACCACCAGGCAAAGGCAGCATGAGAGCCTCTGGAACAACCTGACAAAACCAGAACAAATCCAAGGCAACTGAAGAAACTGAACTTGACCGATCTAGTTCTCCGCGTGCAAAAGCCCTGCATGGAAGATGAAAACAAAGAAGATACAACGCTTGATGGGGTGCATGCTGAAGAACTCGCAGTCGCGACTGTAGGAAACATGTGTGCCAAGTCACAAATGCAAAATAACACATAATATGCATTTACGCATGCACCAAAACAACACACAAAACAATCAAAACAAACGAATAAATACATACAAAGTCCTTTTCTTCGAGATTGGGAGCGTTCACACACAGCTCAGATCCATCCTCTCGCTCGTCAAACTTGACGGTCAAATGGCATCCATCATCGCAATTGCCCACCACTATGCCTGGAGAGCCCTGTCGAACAATGATGCTGCTTCCATACCTGGGGGGAATGGCGGATGCTGACAAGTCAAGCAAAAGGAACAATGTCATCCAACAGTCATCTATAAGAGGCCGGGTGCAGAATATCTCGGCTGGCTGCAATTTCAGTCCAAGCCTGGCCATCAAGCAAAGGTAATGGCGAAACCTCTACAATAGGCCACTGTTCACATCAGATTTTAATCTGAGCGAATTCCACAAAAGGGACATGCGGGCAAACGCGAAGCGCACCTTAAAGCCACCGAAGCAGGGCATCTCCTCCTCCTCTTCTTCTGCCTCCTAAAGGCAGATCTAGTCAAACTTTATTCAAGAGCAGTCTTGACAGTTAGAGATGCAAAGAAAGAGGAGCGCACCGCCATGCGTTGCGGTCCTTGATTCTGCAGGCCAGCCTGTCTGGCACAAGCTGCTCCATGGCTTTCCGCAGGGCAATCGAGTGCTTTGGCAGGCGAAAGGGTACCTGACGAATGAGGGAGGTGCACACTCTGCTCATATTTTTAGCTCTTACCAGTGCTCATGCCGCAACCTGGACATGCCAAGTCATCATTTGACTGATGAAGCAGTGGTTCCACGAATGATAGAGACAAGGCGTGTTTGGAAAAACTCACAAATGGCAAATACCAAGAGCAGGACGATAATCACAATGATGCAACACATTATGCTGGGCATGAATGCTATGAGACTGCTTATACGGTGAATGAGGCAACTTTGACGACGAAATGTCTCGATGGTGAGTGTGGCATTGCTCTTGCAAAAATATCCGAGTGCAAGATCTTGGACCATGAATGAAGTGACTATGCTCTAATTGATTCATGCGAGGGCAGCATCATCCTTCCCTTCGTGAGCCGCACCATCTCGCACTGCCAAAGGAAACCAAGCTTTTTGGGGGTCCCGCGTTTGGCTGTCCCCATTTTGGCTGGTCTTGGAAACTCAAGAAACACTCCCGCCATCTTCGCTGATTTTGACAGCGCCAAGAACGCGCCTTGGCCATGCAGCCCCCAGGACATCGGGGAATGCCACCCTGCTGCGCGTTGGTCTTGATCCAGAGGTGCAGGCATTCCTGGCGAACATCCAAACCCGGACTTCCCCTCCTGGAGTATCCCTTTAAAGTGCATGCACTTCCATGTAAGCAAACCCACGGGAACATCCCCTAGCCTTCATCTAAAATGTGGAAGCTGGTCCAACTTGCGCTTTTTGGCAAGGCAAATACGCACCCCTGAAATGCCCACCAACAAGAGGAAGATAAGGGGCGCCTTGCAGAAGGAGCGACCGCAGCACACCAACCTCGTAAAGGAAACCATACACGGAGCTTGCAAGCAGGTCATGAACCTCTGCAATTTCCGACACATGGGCTTGGCCACACTAAGCTCAGCACGTTGTGGGGGCCAGCATCAGATCTTCACAAATGCTGCAGCAGAAGAGTTCCGCAACTTCATCTTCGGCCATGTCGATCCTTGCCCGCAGGCTCGGGATCCCAAAAAAGCAGAGCTTCCAGCTAGTCAACCTTAAGCCACATGCAAACACTGATGCCTTGATAAGGCAGCCACGATTCCCTTGGTGAAGGTGTTGAAAATCAACACCGCAACACTACACAAAGCTTTGCAGCCAAAATAGCTTCCAGTTTCAAGATTCAATTGCATGACTTCAGCTGTGCTCAAGCACTCTTGCGCCTTGCTCTAACAAAACACCAGGCGCACATGACATGTTGCACTTCGCTTCGTCTCCTTGCATGCGAACTACCCAGATTAAAATTTGATGAACCGGTATGATGTGCAATCAAGCACTGAACGCCAGCGCAGACATCCTGGTTCGCCAAGGAAAATCCTTGCAAGACACGTCATGCATCCTGCAAGAAAATTGATCGAAATAAAGATGTTACAGCTTGAATCTTGAATCGGTGCGCGACTACAATCGTTTACCTTGAGCAGCGTCTTCCTTGACCGGTTTGTGATGTTTGTATATATATATATATACATATATATATATATATATATGCGCTTGAAATTAGGTGTAAGAATGAACCCAACAACAAACATTTGGGAAATGCCCTGTTACTTCACCTTCGCATGGAGACTGGTTCCGGTGCATGCATCTCACCCGCCAGCGCCGTCGGAATCCTGTCACCAAGGAAGGCTGCAAAGTGCAGACTGGCCCCAGCTGCAAACAGCCCTTACCCGGCCTGAAACTCCGAGAAGCGCCCAGGTTCACCACACATGCAACGCCCATGGTCTCCTGAGCATATCGGGTGGCAGCAAACGCTCATCCTGAACCATGGCCTTGCCAAGGATTGGAGCCCTCCCCGCTTCACCTCCGTGCGCACCAAATGCCGCGCTCGCTGCACTTGTTGCAATTGACAGAATCCCGCCTTACATCAAGCCGCAGCTGCCCGACTTCTTTGCCCCAGGCTTCTGCAAGTCCACCTGGCGCCAGCTCCAGTCAGCGAAATGAATGGACATGGGATACCTTGCCTTGCCCTCTGTCAGCTCCATGTCAGGCTCTCCCTGCATGCAGCTGAGGTCCAATCAGCTCAGATAGGCTTGCTAGCTTCACTCATTTACCATATGGCCTTGACGTACGTCAGGGAGAGCCCGTTGGCTCAGTGTCGCTCACCATTCGGATTGTCCGGCTTGAAGGCATCGAAAAACACATGGCCTTCGCATGCGGGCAGTCAGCACGATTCTCACAATCCACGCGACAGAGCTGGAAAAGCATCAAAGGCATGTGACTTCATCATGCCATGGGTAGTGACAGTCTCTCATTGAACAAAGACCTTCCCCAAAGTGTGCAAGGACAAGCTGTGTCTGAGCGCCCAGCCCAGGTGTGATGCGCAGCGGTTACAAACAATTTCTAGGCCTCCAAACTCCGAAACGGTGCCAACATGGCAGCCGCCAGCATCCTGCGAAGTGGTAATAATCTGGTGCTTAGGCCATACGTGTTTTATGCAAACCAACTCTGTTCGTTCTGTTCTCACTCGAACACGCCTCGGAGAAGTAGCAGGTCTTGAAAACCGGCCACCCGCAGTTGCTGCGGAACTTTGAGCTCGCAGAATAGAGCCTTGGAATCACAGGCGCCATAGCTTTGTGGCCGACGCATGGCAGCCTGGTCCCCTTGCTGCCCAAGTCACGGCAGGCCGCAAGCTCCACAAGCGAAGTAGCCCTTTGCACGAAAGAAGAGGGCCATGCAAGACCCGCGCAAACCATGCTGCTTTGTTTCACCCGCCTTCTGTGGCATAAAGCGATCGTACTCGTGGGAGCCAGGCGGCTCTGTACCCTGCTGGCGCAGTACCTGAGTCACCCCTCACTGCCTCACACACGACCCAGCTTTGGCGACGGCGCACTCGGTACTGCCTGGCGTCCAGCATGGACAGCCACTCCTCCTGGCGCATGGCACAGACCCTCAAGCTTCTTTCCCGATTTTGCACTGGGCCACAGCCTCAGAGCGCTGCAGCTGGAAGGACTTGCCGCCCAGAACCTTGCAACTTTCCGGCAAAGGAGATGCCCTCGCTGGCAAGCATGGGTCGAAAGGACACCCCTTCGAAAATTGTCCAAACGGCTCACTCACCAGAAAAGGGCCCGTCCGGAATGTGCGCGGCCTTCGTTAGCTCGCCCTCGTCTTGCAGCGCCAGGACATCATCGCAGCCGCCCAAACACTCGCCACGCACAAAGACCTCAGAGCCACGCCCGGCCCCGGGCGGCCTGGGCCAACGCCCCGGTTGTGCTGCGAAGGTGCCCGAGGCACTGTGCGAGCGCCGGTCATTTCCTCAAAGGCATCCTGGGCGACGCAGCCGACACTCTGGGCCCAGAACACCGGAACACGGGCGCCTGCATGGCTGCGCCTTCCTGGCGCAAGGATATTGGATGCTGGACTTTGACCCAAACAGCCAGCCTCTGCCGGAAGCTCATCCAGCTCCACCACCACGAACTTGCTGCCAGCTTCCGTCAATGCATCCTTTGCCTCACAAGCACCACTTTAGTTGTGCCCATTCCAAGCATCCAAGTAGCCAATCTGTCACTGTGCAAAACCGAGACTGCCAAACACCAACTGCCTGATTGCAAAAGGGGCATGTGGTCTTGGAGAACATGATGACGTCATGCTCCTGCTACTGCTGCTGGGCTCGCATTGTCTAACTTTCTTTTCACAGCTCAACACCAACTTGTCCTGAATCAGGCTTTTGACCCTCTCTGCAGGCTTGGTCTCTGTGGAAGCTGCTCGGCGCGATGTGGCACTAAAGGCAGATCCTGGAAAACGCCCCGAACGCCCCTAAAGCTCAGCAACGCAAACAACCACAAAGCATACAGAACAATGCTTGATGCGCTGGAAACGCTGCCACAGTGCAGCTGCTCAAAATAAAGCTCCAATCCAACCACTTGTGTGACGTAGAAGGCTGTCATAGGTGGGACATCTCTGACAGCAAGTGGATGTCTGCTCCATGAAGCTTCACTGAATGGAATGCGAATGAGATGAGCCTGACATCATAACTGTGATAGCAAAAGACTTTGACCAACGGAAACATTGGACCGGCCACGGAGTTGCACAAGACAAAGACTGGCATACATGCGACCTTGAGGCGGGGTGTCATCACAGCAAGCAAGCTACCACCAAAGCAGCTACAGCCAATGGCAAGGCAAGCGTGAACATATGAAGGCTGTTCTCACACTCCTGCCGCGAATCCGAAGAGCGGGGCCAGCGTCCGGCGCAAGCCGGTGAAGGTCCCAGCCTGGTTTGAAGCTTCAGACTTCACGCGCGCTGCCAGGCAAATAAGAGGGTACTTTGACTTGCCGGGTGAGTGAAAGACTCGCGGCCTGGCTGACAGGTCGTGCCGCGGAGACTGGCCCATGGCTCGCCTGCAGTCCAAATCGCCCAAAAACAAATAGAACGGCGGCACCTTCGCCTTCGGCACGATCCGGGTCCTGACGGGCGCTGACCGCCCAGAGATCATGGCCTGGCAGATTTGGTTCCGAAAAATCTCCTGGACGGAGCCGCCCGGCCTCACCGGTCAGGGCCCCCACCGCCAAAGCTGCGGCGGCCCGGCGCGGCCACCGCTTGTCCGGCATTGAGCTGGGGATGGCTCGTTGGCGATCAGCAAAGAACTGCTCGCGACATATCACAGGAACAAATCACACCAGATCTCCCCTATCACTTCTCAAGTTGAGTCCCCCGCCACCCATGTGCTGAAATGACCAAAGTACATGCTTTATGAACAGGACTTTGCATTGCATTCAAATAGCTCTTGGGCCGTGCATTGACGGCATCTAATGTACAAACTCAAGAGTCCAGGCCGCATCTTTGTAGACCTTGTTGGGAGGGTAGCCTGCCCCTACACCCCCACTCCAGCTCGCCTCTCCGTGTCCGCCCGCCTTCGCGTAGAGGGCCCGATTGGAATCCACGTTCACGATGCGAACGCTGCCCTCGCCGTCTTGGACGAAAGTCCACAGACCATCGTTCCACACCGCGCTAGGTGGGGACCCAGCGCCCCAGCCCCACTCCCAGTTTGAGTCTGGGGGCTTTTTCGCATACAGGGCGCGATTGGACAACTGATTGACGATTCGATATTGATTCTCACCGTGGGGCACCAGGGTCCAATAGCCATCTTCGCCCACTTTCTCCTTGGGAGTGCCAGCCCCCACACCCTCCTCCCAGTTCAGGCCCTTCTTTGCAAAAAGCGCCCTGTTTGAGTATTTGTTGACAATCCTCAGCCTCACTCCTGCTGGCAAAGCCAAGCTGGTCGACTTGAACCAGCCAAGCTCGCAGCAGCACTTGTAGCCTTCGCTGCCGTCATTGCTGGCGGTGCCCTTGGAACCACCCACTTGGCCCGGGCAGCTGTAGTCGCTTGTCCAGCCGCAGCCAGAGTCAGCCAAGTACTTGGAGCACACCGGTGGTTTGCTGCCCTCGGTTTTCACATACGTGGAGTACATGCCCGGACTGGCAACGCAAGCAGGGATATTGATGCCTGCCAGCAGCTGGCAGGCATTCTGGTTTGACACCGCAAAACCTTGACATTCTGCATTGCTGCCACACTGCTGGGCACAACTATCAAGGGAGGCACTGCTGCTTCTGAGCTCCACAGCTCCTTCTGAGTTTTTGCAATGCGCATTGGCATAGGTAGTGAAGCCCGCCACTGTCGGGGCTGTGGTTTGCTCCGGTTCCACGGCCTTGGTGCATTGAGCAACATAGTCTGAACAGCAGGTATTTCCCAGAAACGTCTGGTCACATCCAGGAAAGCACTGGCATTCATTCATGAGCGTCATAAAGTCAAAGCTCTTGGTGCAGCCAAAGGATTGGCAGTTCCCCGGTGTCTTCTTCATGAGACTACCAATGTCAACTGCCGGTGCTCCTCCAGCCTGCTGGGCTTGCTGTATCTTGTTTATGCTCTCAAGGGTCTTGTCGTCAAAGCAAAAGTTCCAATTCATGTTGAACGTGAGGTCGTCCCCGGCAGGTTGATTTTGATCGCTCTGCCCAGTGCAACCAAAGTTCCAGTTGTAGTTGAATTTGGGCGCTGAAGCATCCTCTCCGGCCAGCACCGTCTGCTTCTGTCGAAGCTGCCTCAAGGAGATGTCGCAAGAATCATCGGCGCAGGCATCATCCAAAAGTAACGCATCAACCTGGTCCGACAACGATTGAGTTGGAGGAAGCTCCGCAGAGCTTCGGACAGCCAGGGCAACAATCGCACTGATAAACCAGCCCATTGTTGAGAGAACGCTGTTGACCTTGAAAAAGAGAATTTGCCTGCGACATGCAAGACAAGGACCGTGCAAAAACGCAAGTATAGGTTATCCACGTAAACGATCAATGAACAGCCAAAAATGGCATACCCCGGAACATGTCGGGTGTGTGTGTGTGTATATATATATGCACACATACGTCGTGTCACCTGCGTCTAAGAAACAAGTAGGTGTTTCAAATGTGTAAGCGCAAAAGCAGGCACACACCGCTGGCCAATAATGTGTTTGATAGTCTTAACGATCATAACACGCGAAACACAATCAAGCAGCCGAACTTGGACAATTGCCAAGACCACAAGTTGGCCAGAGCAGCTCTCGAGCCGAGTGAGGTAGAAGCACTACACCTCGAATTGCACCTTGCAGCAAGGACATAGGCGCGCACACATACACAGACAAAGACACAGGCACACAAATACGGGAACACACACACACAAGAACACAAGGCCTTTTACGACACGGAGTTCTGCCAAGGTTTGCACCGATTACCCTTTCGAGGGACGTTTCTTCTTGCTGCCAGGGTCGGGGGTGTACCCGCGCTGAAAAAAATAGTCAGGGCAGAAGGCTGTGCGCAAGCCGCGCGCACTGGCTCGCAACCATCATAGTAAACCCTCTGCAGGCTTTCTGCGGGCCTTTTCAAACATGTCGACGGTTTGCGTTTTTTGACGTAGCTTACAGAAACCCCTGCGGACTTTGACGGGGTCAAGTTCCCAACAGAGATGCAGAAGTTTCCACCGGGTAGAAAATCCAACCGAGAGCCTAAGTGCGAGAGATGAGAGTCATTGCAAGGTGTCATTGCAAGGAACCATCATCAGTCATTGCAAGGAGTCATTGCAAGGTCATTGCAAGGAGTCATTGCAAGGAGTCATTGCGAGGAGTCATTGCAAGGAGTCATGAGAATCATTGCAAGCTCCAAGGAGCAAAGTTTCAAGTGCAAGTTGCAAGTGCACGGAGTCAAGTGCAAGTTGCAAGTGCATGGAGTCAAGTGCAAGTTGCAAGTGCAAGGAGTCAAGTGCAAGTTGCAAGTGCAAAGAGTCAAGTGCAATTGACTTGCGAGGAGTTAAAATATCTTCCTAGGGCGGCGGGGTAGCGCCGACGACACCCTACGAAAATCGACCCTCTGTGGGGATTGGCGTGGTCGAGGTGCAAAAACTCGAGGATTTTTTGCGATTTTGTTTTGGCTCGCGCGACCCTCTGCGGGGATCGGCGTGGTCGAGGTGCAAAAACTCGAGGTTTTTTTGCGATTTTGTTTTTCTCGCGCAACCCTCTGCGAGGATCGGCGTGGGCGAGGTGCAAAACCTCGAGGTTAGAATCTTGATCACTGCTACAATCCGAAAGGGAACATGCAGCCAAAGATAAAAGGGTGCGACCGACAAACATGAGCGCACGCTCTTTTTCTTTATAAGGCGTTGCTTGGAAGTTGAGGCTCGGAGGTGCGGGGGGAAAGACAGCGCGCACCCCTCTGCGGAGCCTCCTCAAATGCCCCCGTGGTCAGGCGCCAGTTGTGTGTTACCTGTGAGGCGTGAAACAATCGAAGGCTGCGTCGTGCAACGCATAATTACCTCTGGACGGTGCGCAGTGAAGCACACGGCGCCAAGCCGAATGCAATGAGTGCGTCAAGCTGGTGCGCAATGCGGCACACGGTTCTGGACTGAGACCTTTTGGGCCCAGCTGCGGCTGGGTCCTGGTGGCAGCACTGCGTGCCTCCGCTGGTGCGTGGCGCAGCCCACGGCGAGAAGTTGAACCTAGTGGCCAACGTAATTGCAGTGGCATGGTATGCGCTGCATCTCTGGGGCGCCAGCTGCGGCTGGGCCCAGGAATATCCACCTGAGTGTGGAAAGGGTGGGAGGGTGGGCGCAAAAAAGTGAGGGAAAGCGCATGACTGTTAGGTGGCTTGAAGCAGAAAACGGCAACGCGTCCGAAGATTCGATCCAGACTCAATCGCTGGCATTGCTCTTTCGGACCTTGAGAGCCCCCTTTGACAGAACTTGAATATGGGGTGGTGGAGTGTCAAAGGGTGGTGTGCTGAAGGCATACAACCTTGAGCATCTCCCCGAGATTGGAAGAAAGATGACGCTTCACCTTTAGCTGATGCAGTCACCTACATGTACAGGTGACTGCGTGCAGGAACTACCTTTTAGGAACCCTATGTGTTGGCACTTTGAATGAAGTTGTGTTTGAGTCAGGTCGATCTAAAGGTTACTTAGGCTTGAAAAGCCTTGTACCCTTTTGGCCTGATTGTGAGCTGCTGTGCGAACCTCAAACACTTAGACTAAAACATAAGGGAAAAGAAAACACTAAACGTTAGAACCTTGATCACTGCTTCAATCCGAAAGGGAACATGCAGCCAAAGATAAAAGGGCGCGACCGACAAACATGAGCGCACGCTCTTTTTCTTTATAAGGCGTTGCTTGGAAGTTGAGGCTCGGAGGTGCAGGGGGAAAGACAGCGCGTGTCTGCACCCCTCTGCGGAGCCTCCTCAAACGCCCCCACTTCAGGGTTTCAAGCAAACGGCCTACAAATATCATATCACCCCCTCTTCAGAGCGTTTGCGAAGCGCTGACATGCTCTGGCCGCCACGGGGCGTCGGGCGGATGCAGCGACAGCCTGCATTGGTGGGGCCAGAAATCATGCGGGCGAAAACGAAAGCGAGCTTGCGGCTTGCTGTCGAAAGCGGATGTGTTGCCGCGGCTGAGCTGATCAGCCCCACACGTTGCGTTCGCCTGGGATATGCGAGGCTAGCACTGACCACTTGTGCTTATAGGCCCATGCGGCGACTAATTGCAATGGCCATGCTGTAGTGAACAGTTTGTTCAAGCTGTATTATCCGTGCCGGAAGGCATGCACAAGCCACGCACGGCTTGTCCCTTGGCTGTCCAAGCGATGCGCATGAGCGCGAGCTGGGCTAGTGTTTCGAAGCACGCTATGTAGCGTTGGGCTTCCTTTGTGAGGAAAGGCCACTGCTGCTGGACTTCTTGGAAATCCCAGGTTTCTGCGAACCATGAGACGGAGCGGCTGGATATAAACCAGCCACCTATGCCGACTTTGGTGCCCTCGGCGCAAGCATCGGCGGCTGCTTTGCCAGGATTGGCTTGCTTCGCAGCGGGCATGCCAAATCTTCCTGAAAACATTGCAAGAGCCATTCAATGTTAGCCCTGCTTGCCGTAGATAAGCGAGTGTGCTCGGCAGCTGGGTCGTTGGCGACGCGCGCCCATGCTGG